GGTTTGCATTTGTCACTGGGACTTAAACACACACTTGTTTTGATTTCTTTTTGTAAAATTAGAAGCATTTGATGTAATGACTCTACCTAGACACAGCTGGTAAAGTGAGAAGAACGCTCAAGTTTGCACAGTTTAAACACAATGTAGACAATAATTAGAAACGCTATCTTTAGATGTTTAGGATAAGCTTTTTCTCAGAATTGCAATGAATTTTTTTTTCCCCCCGAGTGGGGCTTTTTGGTGCACGGATACAGAAATACTAAAAACGTAAGAAAATAGAGCAAATCAGAGAGTGCTTTGGTCAACTTGAAAGACTGCAGGAAATAAACTAACTGATTTTAGATTTGCCTTTTTGGGCTGAATGCATCGAATCGTTACATTCTCTGTATTTTTCATGACTGTCATATGATCAAATAATTTTAGGTGACACGTTGCCACTGGCAAGTTGCTACAGTGTGCTGGAAGCAACGCTCAGCCTGCGCTTGGCCTGGAGTGAGGGTGGCGAGGGAGAATGAAGCAAATACGAAAGATAATTAATCATCTCGATCAGGAAAATTACCACATTTTTATTTCGGGCAACAAAAAAGATATCGTTAGGCTACACGGTGACCGTAGAATCCAATAAAGCTAGGTCTGCAAATGAACAGAAGTGACTTCATTCTTTAAATAAAACTACACAATAGCTGTTTTGTTTTAGCCAATTGTTTAAAATTTAATAGGTTATCACTGGCCTCTGCTAAGATCCCAAAAATACATTCCTGAGCTCGCATGGACTCTAGAAAGTCCAATTTTTTTGGTCCTATGCAAGCTGTCCTTAGCTATCCAAAAAATTCTTATTTAGTAAAGAGGTGAGATGAAATGTAAGCACATCTCCATGGACCGTTTGAAATCCCCTTCCTGCCGTATCAACCTGTTTTCTTTGGTTTTTGTGAACAACCATAATATAGAGAGACAGGACCTTCCTTTTTTTTTTTTCTGGTTTTCATTTCTAACTAGATTCACTATGGAGCTCCCAAATGCATCTTTCTGATCTATACATTTTTCTCCGTTCAGAAAGACATCCGGAAAAAAGGAATCTATTAAAGTAGTGAGTTGGGGACAATGCTTGGGCTTTTGGATAATCTACCTGCAGCCATCTGAACGGTACCTTCAGTGTTAGTTAATGAAGCAGGATTGCTCTAGATGGAAGCTTCCAGAAACAAAGCAGTGGGAGGAGGTGTTCACAGAGAGACCATTTTCCAAGAGAAGGAGGGAGTCAGGGGTGCCTAAAACCAAGAGGAGCACACGGTGGGCTTTAATTTTAGAGACAAGCAAGAGAACCTCAGTGAACACGCAGCTAGTCTTTGAAATTCCTTAACTGAACTTTTCATGCCTGCTTGTGAACTGGGATACAAAATACTCCCTGCGGGAATAACCCATAAAACGATTTTACTCCAACACCTGAAGAAAGATAGCAGAACCTTTCCCTAGAACGTTTGTGGCGATGGTGGTGTTTGGGGCTGAGGCAGGGAAGAGGATCAGAGATGAACAGACAAACCCGACTGGCTCCAGATGCCCGTGGGGAGGAGCGGCCGGCAGGCACTGTGCCTTCCGCTAGAGAGGCTTCAGGGAATAGCCCCAGGGAGAGCAGGAGGGAGGGGGAGGAGAGAGGAAGTGGCTGAAAGGAGGCCTGGAAAGAGCTGGGGATGAGAAATGCCTCCTTTTTATAAAAGCCCAATCCGTTTCTATGAGCCTTAATTAAAAGGCAAACACTCATAGGTAAAAATCCACACCTAAAGGCTCTCAGGAACAGAGCGATCACAAGGCAGGCAGTGTGCAAACACGCTTTCATTAAGAGACCTGTCAGCTCTGTTTCATTTATCCAGACCGCTCTGCACTGTGCTGGCAACCCAGCTGGAAAACGAATGGAAGGACACGCACTTGAGGAGGCAAACAAAGGTGGGAATGTCCCACCTACAAAATAGGACAGACCGTAAAGAAGCCGGGGGAGGAGCCATGAGATGGCATTTTTCTTAGCAAACAACAAGTCCAGCCCCTCTGCTTGACTCCAAACTCATCAGAAACAATAAATAACATTCTGGCTTTTTAAGCAGGGGGTTGGGGGGGGGGGAGACAAGATGTAGGGTTTGGAGACCAGGCCATTGATGGCCAACTCAAATCTGCTCAACTCTATTCCCGACTCGCCCACCGTTCCTAAGACATGATTTTGTTTTGGTGCTCACCCGTTCAGAGTCTGTATGTCTAGGGATGGGGCCCCTTCCCCATTCATAGAGAGAATCTTGAGGAACCTCAATAGATCATGGTATTGGATTATTATATGACCGAGCCATGAAATGTTATAGGAACTGGATTGCTTGCTCATAAAACACACACACATTCAGGCACAGAGACATGGGGAGAAACTTCCTCTGCCTTTGGACACCTGAGGCTAGGTGCTGTCTGGAGCTGGTGCGGCCACCTTCTTATCATGAGGGAATCGCTGGCGAGGGGGCAAGTAGAAGTGCAAGATGGAAACCCAGGTCCTTGATGACTTTCTTGAATGAACCAGCCCTGGCAGGCCCTACTTCTGAAGTTCTTGTTCAGAAGAGTAAGAGCAGACTCCATCTCCCTATTAAGTTTTAGTAAGTGTGACTTGAGATGGAGACTGCCCTGACTCATGCAGGGTTATCCAGAAGAGTAGGGGAAAGAACCCTACAGCTTTTCACAGTCTGTAATCCTAGCACTCTGGGAGGCCGAGGCAGGTGGATTGCCTAACCTTACTGGTTCAAGACCAGCCTGAGCCAGAGCAAGACCCCATCTCTAAAAATAGCCTGGCACTATGGCAGGCGCCTGTGTACTTGGGAGGCCGAGGCAAGAGAATCACTTGAGCCCAAGAGTTTGAGGTTGCTGTGAGCTGTGACAGCACAGCACTCTACTGAGGGTGACAAAGTGAGACTATCTCAAAAAAAAAAAAAAAAAGACAAAAGACAACCATAAATAGTTTTAAAACTCCCTTTAATGTCTGAGAAGCAGAAGGACCATGCTGGATGGTGATAGCAGAGGTGGGACGGCGTCACATATTTCCATAGAGTGTTCTCATAGTCATGCCTGTGACAGGACCAACTCACTGGCTCCCTTCCCTTCCAATAACATGGGCCCCACACTGAGTTTAGGATCCTACTGCCCATGAACCCTGCTCCCTGCCTTGGACTCCAGACTCTGGGACTCCCTGCAGTTTTGCTGATCCTGATGGAATGCGTTGGAGTTTATCATAAACCCTGCTTTCCAGAAGGTGATGAATGGGCCCTGAAGATGTACACCTGTTGTGTGTCAAAACCAGAGATTCTGCAGCGTGACATTTTTCCTGCCTACTATTACTGTATCGCATCTGGCTGTGTTTTCCTTCGGCGGCTCTGCCATCCTATACAGTAGTGCTAACCATTTGCATACAGTTAAATCCCAGTCCAGCAGGGGAATTATGTCTGTGACCGCTGGTCTGTGTGGGCTCTGCAGGTGCAGACACGGTCTCCTCTGAGGGGAAGTCGTGGTGGACAGGCTGGGACACAGGGAAGCAGGGAGCACTAGGGACGGCGGGCAAGGGCTCATGGTCTGTCCTCCTCTCTAGGAGCAACATAGGCCCTGCCTCCAGCCTGCTCCCTTTTTGTTTGCCAGACACGGTGCTGGAGGCCCATGCAGTGCACATCTGACAGTGGACCGGGTCCTTCTGCGTTTCCTTTGCCCTCCTTCAGATGGAGGCAGCACAATATGTGACGGGGCTTCCATTCTGCTGGCAGAGTGTCACCGAGGTGCACCCTGGCAGGGATGTGTAAGTGTGGACGGGCCCTTGGTGTGCGGGTAGCAGGCCTAGGATCTCCAGTCTGGTATAAACGCTAGATTTTGAGGATGAATTTTCAATTTCTACCACCCTGGAAGCCTCTCTTGTTCCTGCAGGAGGGCTCTCAAAGCGGTTCTCAGAGGCATTGTGAACTTGGGGATCGGGTCCGTGGCTTTCCTGGGGAAGGGAAACTGAGGTGAGCTCACAGGAAGGTTTGTGGTTGGATGGCACTTTAAATTTCTGCAGTGCCATATGCCACCCGGAAAAGCTAATTTTCATTCCAAAGGATGGACCACACCCTCCTTTCCCACCCTGAGACTCAGCCCACTGTCCCCTTTACTGTGCTGTAATGAAATCCCTTTGCTTTCCTCCCTCCTTCCCTTATTCGGCCATAATCTCTGTGATCTGTCTTAAAGATCCCAGTACCTGTGAAGGGTTGGAGGTTTCAGGTGGTGCAGGCAACTAGACTGGCCCTAAGCAGCTAGACTGTCCCCAACCCTAAAATGGCTAATCGAATCCTTTTGGCAAGACAGGTTGAATGGGACAACTAGCATCTCTAGGTTCTAGCTCATCTCATCTCAGAAACAAACAAAAAATAAAACCAGACCAGCATGGGAAGTCCTCTCCCTCTCTGCTGCGAACCCCACTTCCCTCACTTCAGATCAATTAATCCTCCAGATTTACAGGCCGGAAAACCAAGCTCTGGCAGGCAGCAGGCTGGCCTCAGCAGGGGCTGTGGACTTCAGACCAGAAGCCCCACCTTCTCAGCCTGCTAAGTCCCTTTCCACCTGCCAGTCCACGCTGTGACAGACAGTGCTGCGGGCAGGAAGCCAAGCTCACCCATGCTGGGCTGTCCCACCCTGCAGGGATGATCACACAGGGCCCTGATGTGATGGAGAACAGCCATGGGGCCTCCTGACACCTCCTGCTCAATTACACTTTCCTCTCCAGCCGCCGAACCTTTACCAGGACAGGGACCTGATGAGAAAGCCCCATCAGTTCCTACCTCGTCCCATAATTTTGATCAACAACATTAAGTGCTAATGGAAAAACATCTTATCTCTGATAAAACAAATGCTGACAGAAAGCTGCACGCCAAAAACCAGGGCTATGGCGGACACTATTCCCACGCCCGGCCACGTTCACAGCAGCGCGTCTTCGGCAGAAAGAGATGACACTGAGAAGCTTGAGGACCCGCATTTAATAAATCAAACTGTCCTGGCAGCCTCAGATTAGTCACAGTTTGCAGCAGGACACAGGGTTTTCTCGCTTGCAGCTTGGGAGGTGTTTCAGGAGAGAGCGGCTGGGGCATGCTGTTCCGACACGGCGCTCCTTACTGTCCGGGGCCTTTCACTGTGTCATCCTGTCGGCTTCCTCTCCCTTTCATGTTTTCATGGTGCCCCTCGTGCCGCCACCCTCGGGGATCCCTTTGCCGTCTTCCAGTGTGGAAGCTTCGGCCTCTGGCTGGCTGGACTCAGTGGCATCCGGCTGAGATTTGGGGGACTCCCCAGAGCAGGCCAGGCCCGGTGAGGACGGCCCCCTCTCGCTGCTCTGACCCTCCACGGGACTCTGCCTTCTGCCCTCTTTCAGTTCTGCAGCTGCCTGTTCCTTTGTCAGTTTAATTATTTCCCTTCCAAGCTTGTTTACTTCTTCTTCCTCAGAAGGTAACCGGGGTAATGAAGGATGAAAGAGCTTGTGTTGGTTCCCGAGGCTCACATTTGCTGGGGAGTTGACAGCGGGCCCCCCAGCATCCTCGGGCGCTGTCAACGCCTCGGCAGCAGCACGACTTTCATCTCCTTCTTGCTTCTGAACCTCCTCTGAAAACAGAATGAGGACGGCATTAAACCCCTGGCAGCAAGTCAGTCACCTCCCCTCTCCTGCCACCTCCATGCCCAGCCCGCCAGCACGGAGCCTGGGAGAAAGGAGTTGACAGTCATAGGCTCCTGGTGCAGGGCACTGGATCCGAGAGGGAACTGGGGAGCCAGGGTAAAGAATCGGGTCTCTAGTGATAAGAATGGAGGGCAAGGGCCGCAATTATATTTCACCCTTTCCAGGGGCCTGGGACGCTCTCACCCCACTGCTAATAGAGGCTCCTGGTGTCCATTAAATATTTAGGTTGAAGACAGAGGTTTTGTTGGTTCTGCAGCTCAGGGGAGACCTGGGGCTCTTTAGAAAGGAGCCTTCAGGATGGGAAGCACAGGGAGGTCTGTATCAGCACCTCATGCCTACCACAGACATCTGATGTTCCCTCATTTTCAAATGAAGTGCTGTATGCCACAGCTCCCTCCCCACTCAACTGTTGTCCCTAAACCCCTTCTCTACAGAACAGAGATCCTTGAGCTGCCCTACAGGAGGGGGATGGGTGGGAAGCAGGTGCCCGAGTGCTGGTGTTTAGTACTCCTTTCCCTGAGTACTCACTTTGTGATCAGGACGCCTGGCCTCTGCTTCTCAGATACAATGAGAAACCAGATTCCCTGATATTCCTTCAGACCTAACAAGCAATGGTTGAACATTTGACTAAGTCTACATACAGTATGTTTTCTGAAATCTGAAATCTGTATTTAGTCTGGATAACTAGGTAGTCTTCTCCAACAAGTTTACTGGTTTCAACAAGCACTGTTAATGCACAAAGGAGACTATTACTAATGCTTATAATGAAATACTCATATGTGAATGTGTAAATATATGAACTGGGCAAATCTTGATTTTTTAAAAAACAGCTATTCAGATCCATTCAGCCAGGATAAGGGATGCTAGTTCTTAAGGGGTCTCTTGGATTCCAGTCTCTTTCTGCACTGATCCAACCTGTTGGGAGGGGATCCTTCCCTAAAGCTGTGCCACTCCCCGTTAGACATTCAGGATCTCTGGCCCTACCCTAGAATGACTGGTTCAGAATCTGCACTTTACTAAGATCCAGGCTCCATGGGTATACACCACAGTTGGAGAAGCACAAATCTCACCATGCCTTTCTCCAGCCACATGACATTAAAGGCTGTCAGGGCCTCAGGAACTAAGTTCAAGCCCATCACTGGGCATCCAAGGCCTTCCATCTACCTTTCTACTTGATGCTCCAAGTTCTTTCCTTGTTCCCTACACTCCAGCCACTCTACCTCTGGGCCCAGGGCCTTTGCTTAAGCAGTTGATTCCCTAAAATAATTCCCTTATGCATCCAATGACGAATTTCAAGACTCAGCTCTGCCCTGTGCCTTTTCCTGAAGCCTGTCAGATTAAATCAGGCCAGAAGGATTCATCCCAGTGTCCAAATCCCCATAGGCGGTGTCCAGCTCTCCTAGAGAACTTAGTATATTTTGTTCCCCCGACTCAACTTGTTATATGTATGTAGTTAGCTTATAACCACTTTATGTATAAAATCTTGCCTAATTAGTTTTGTAATCTTGCCAATGCTCTATAGTAAGGGCTCCGTAAATAGCTCATTAAATGTTTGACTATATGAGCCTATACATGAATGTGTGAATAAATGAATATATTAGTATCTTTAACTACCATTCATTAATATAGGAAAGTAATCCTTGAATTTATGGTATTCATTTCAGGTTGTATTCAAGCTGCTATCCTACAAGTTCTTAAGATGGTACTTTCTAAGGGAAAAAAAAAAAAGAGAGATTTCTAACTTGCACAAACATTTATCTATATCTAAGGTAGCTCAGGGAAGCAATCGCATAATTTTTGTACTAACAAATGAAAATTATTATAGTGGCTGTAGAGGAGACATGAGAAACAGTGAGTGGGAAAGAACGTGTTTCCAGCATAGTGGGGGAAGCTTTATTCAAAAGGAGTAAATTATGATACTTTCTGCAGCTAAATTTTTCATCAACGTGAGATGAATAAACTCCTTCTGGAAATTACTCTTACGAAATTACTTCTTCCAGGACACTTAATAGTATATTCTGGTGCCCCTGAAAAATTAATTAACCTTCGTCGTAACAACCTAACCCCTAAACCATCTGCGGTGTGTTTTTACTGTGGGTCAGGTTAATCTTCTCTGCCTTAATTTACATCGAAGTGAGGGTGGTCTAAATTACACTGGGGAATTGCAGTTGCTGGGATTTTGCCTTGTGCCATTTCTTTAGATGACATTCCGCTTGTGTCCAAATGTATGAATCTCTTTTAAAATGGCAAAGCTCTGAGATGACCAGAGAGAACTTTTTAACATTTGAAGTAGGGGTGGGATGGGTGCGAGGATAACTCTGCTGTCTTTGTGATAGGCTCGAACGCCACCACACCAAGGACATGAGTGAACACAGGCTGTGATCCTACAGGTTGGTCCCTAGGAGGCATTTATTTTTTCCAAGGACGTCTAGATTTTTCAGAACCTCAGGAAGTATATACCCAGAGAGATACGGGCGCCAGGATTTGGGATTGCATTAGGGGTCAACAGGAGGATTTGCTAATCTATTTCCCTCTTTTGTTTTACCCTAAAGATATTAAAAAATATACACTCAAGTCATTATCAGGAGATAAATGTTACTGAAAGTGTCACAATTGTTGAGCTTTACTCGGCCCTCTGGTTACTTGCTGTGGGAGCAAAATCTTCCTTTAACTCTAAGGTTCTAGAACATTAACTATTTTTTGATTTATTTTGGATTAACATAAGGGCACATACGATCAGGCTACATTGTCCTGGTTTGTAAGGTATAGTCCCAGTTGGAGTTGAGTCCTTCACCCAGGAGATGTGCCCTATACCCCTACATTGTACTTGACAGGTGGCAGCCCACTGAATTCTCCTCCCTCTCTCACCCCTCCCCCTTTCCAAATTTAATTGGGTTTTTCACTTATGTGGGCATGTAGTTGTTCATCTGCTAGTTTCAAATTAGTATCAAGTCCATGAGATGCTTGCTTTTCCATTCTTGAGATACTTTACAAAGAAGAACCTCAAGCTATGGAGGTTTTCTTTCTTTAAGAACAGACACTTAGCACTGCCCTTCCCATGAAAGACTTCTGAGCTAGCAGAGAGTAGGAAAATATTATTACAAATAATAGTAATTAGTCTGTGCTGTTTTAGCAAATAGGATTATCATTAATACCTACAAATACCAACACACGTATCAATAATGATGAGGCCATTAACTGATAGATATGCATTATGACTCTAATAGCATGGATAGAAAAAATACTTCCTGAGAGATGAAGACACAGTATGTCTTTGTAAAAAAAAGATTGCTAATCCCCTAAAAATGTGTTTTCTTCTCCATTGGCCCAAAGGGGACATTTGTCTTCCTTTGTTAACTGGTCTCTGATGGGCTTTGTCCTCCCAAGTGTGCCCTGCTTTCAGTTGGAATTAATCAGAGATGCAACAGTGATGAGGCCATTCCAGAGGCTGACAGCGGCTACATAAATGCTGCCTTGTTCCCACCCAGCGCTGGCGAAGGATGGGCTGGAACAATGAGAGCTAATGATGGAACTCTGGAAGCTATCATTTTGAATCAGCCCCTTGCGAAAAATCAGGCTGGGCTCATGCTCCACGCCAGGTTAGCAGGCCCAGGCCCACCCCGAGGCTCAGCAAGCCCAGAGTCGACAGAGGGCTTTGGATTTCCTCGTGGACGCTGAATGCAGGCATGGAATGACCATCAGCCAAGTCATATTCCAAACCACACAGTGGGCCACTGCACATTCCTGGCCAGACTTGCACACAGCCATGTGCTGTTGGCTGGAAAGGCCCAGCCTTGCTTCCTGGCTGGTGTAGAAACCTGTCAGAGTCGGGGGGTTCTCTTTAGGAACTCCCCTAAATTGTACTTGCAGAACCTTTGTGTAGAGGTCCAAGACATATACTGACTTCCATTCTTAGCACTGTGAGAAGTAATTTGAATGGAAGTCAAAACACAGGATGCGTGAGGGAGAATTGCTGGCAGCAACTCAGGTGAGCAGAACTGTCCTTCTGAACCAACGATGCATAAAAATAATACACAGTTGTTGCTTTGACTGCTAAGTTTTGAGGTGGTTTGTTACACAGGAATAGCTAACTGATATCGCTGGTGGATCCATTTTGATAAGAACACAGTTTTCCAGGCCAGATAATCGTAAGGTTAGAAAGGTAGGCTAGGCCAGTTGAGATTTGAAGTAGAAGATAGTTTAGAGCCACTTGGGATTTTTGAGAAGGCTACAAAGATGTATTCCAAAGCTTTGCCCTACAGTGGGAGAGTAAAGAAGGAAGCAAGAAGAGCCAAGCAGCAGGAAGTCTAGGAGGGCAGGCCGGCCAGCAAGATGATGAGGGCCTGATCCAAGCCAGAGGTAGAAGGTACTAAGATGTGAGGACTCTGCAGAAACGGTTAGGCACAGACCAGATGTGGATTGGGAGGGGGGCTGACAGTGGGCGATGGCTCCCAGGTTTCAAGCCTGGATAGGTGAGGGGTTGACTAAAAGAAAAGAAGCAGGAAACATTGGTGATGTCACCATTGAGAAGCCTGTAGAACATCTGGGGCAGGGCTGATAGTGAAGAAACTCAGGTTCTGGGAAATCTGGAAAAAATACTTTGAGAATATTTTTATGGAGGTGATGATTAAAGACATAAGCCTAAAGAGAGAGAAAGAATGTAGATGTTCAAAGAAAGAACCTTGATACGATTCACATGCTGGGTCTATAAATTATCTTATTGCTGTCCAAAAAATTGCTTCAAAAATCTAACAGCTTAAGACGTAGGAGTCTGGGAACAGTTTAGCTGGGTGGTTCTGGCTACTGGTAACCCACATGAGGTTACCATCAACATGTTGACCAGGGTTGTTGGCATCTGAAGGCTTGACTGGGGCTGTATAAACTGCTTCCAAGATGGCTCATGTGGCTGATGGCTGGAGGCCTCAGTTCCACACCACAGGCATAGAGTGTAGGGCTGCTTGGGTATCCTCATGACATGGCAGACTGCTTCCTTCAGAGGGAACACTCCAAGAGTGATAGGGCAAGGCATGAGTCTCATGTCTTTTATGACCTAGCCTCAGAAGTCAAGTGCTATCACTTCTGCTACATTCTATTAATCTCACAGACTGCCCATGACACAATATACGAGCAGACTGCACAAGGGCATGAATACCAAGGGGTGGGGATCCTTAGCGCCATCTTGGAAGCTGGCTGCCCCATTAGGAGTGGCAGAAGAGGATAAGCAAAACTTCAAAAGATATAAAAGACAGTTTCTTTGGGGAAATAAGACTGCCACATGGAAAGAGACTCAACTTCCTTCAAAACACTCTATCCCCAATACTGCCTTGCAGAAGAGAAGCTTTTCTCTCTATTTCACTGTTTCCTAGACCACTTACCATGTGCCAGGCAATACGCCAAGATTTCCCCAAAGTTGGCACCATGATGTCACCATTTTAGAGTGTCATTGAGACTTAAGTCCACTAGCCCAAGTTTTCACAGCCAGTGTGATGTGGGGCTGGAACACGAACCCATGCTGTTCATCTCCTGAGTCCTCTCTCTTAACCTCTATGCCGCTGTGCCCCGAGTGCAGAGGCCTGCATTCTTCTGCAGAAACCTCGCAACAAGATGAACCCACACAAGCCACTGGAGGGAACGTGAGGAATGCCTCAAAGGTGCCACAGCAGCTGCAGGAAGGGGAAGGACCCACTGAGACCCTTCTTTGCAACAGGCCCAGGCCAGGCAAAGATGGAGAAATCAAGATGTGCTCACCGTCCTTGGGGTTCACTTTGTTCTCCACGGGCTGCTCAGCAAACTTCATCAGTGGGGATCTTGACCTCTGTGTGGTGGGAAGAGTGGGGTCACTGAGCAGTATGGTGTCCTTGCCCCCTGTCACGGAAGAGGGGAAAGTGGACGTGTTTTATGGTCATTGGAGATGGATACATTCACTCCCACACAATTAGCTAGCTGTTTGGGTTAACAAGGCACTTTCTTTAGACGTCGCTGATGCTGTGTCAGGGAAGGAGCCAGCAGGTTCCTCTGTAGTGTGGGGATAGAGCAGTGAGGTCCAAGGCTGTTAATGATTAAAGACCTTGACTCCCTTCTGAGTCTGCTCAGGGCTGGCTTCCCACAAATGCCACCATTAAAGGGCAGCCTGTTATGCTGGCTGAGAATTGAGTGGCTTTGATCTGAGTGAGATAAGAATGCTAATAATAATAGCAGAGTGCTTTGGAGTGCAAACTTTGGAGCTGTCCTATAGAATCTGTGCTTTGGACATCACCCCTTGCTCACTGGGCAACCTCAGGTACATCGTTAACCTCTCTGGACCTCAGATCCCTCATCTGTAAAATGAGGAAGACGGTAATAGCATCCACCTCCTTGGGTGGCTGTGAGTATGAAATGCACTGGGTCATATAAAAGACTTAGATGTTTAGTTAGCACTTAATAAATGTCACCTACTGAAATGATTACAGTGTAGACAGAACTGCTGCTATACATACTTTATCTGATTTAATCCCATTTGGCCACTTACACTGAATAACTGTCATGAGGGAGGTAGTATCGAGTCCTCCAAATTATCACAGCTAAATTTTCACTTAGAACATACAGTGTCATACCAGGAAATCTGTTTACCTATTAATATGACCCCCTCCCCAATGAACGCAGAAAGTTTGAGGAAAGAGGAAGAAGAAAGGAAAACCATGATGATACGACTTTGGAGGTGAGTATGGCGGGGAGGAGCAGGGGGTGTGGCTTTGACACTGGAGCATGGTGCACACAGACACACAGAACACAGGAACATGAAGCCATGCCACCCTGAGAGGTCAAGAGAGACAAACTTCGGTCCACGAGGCCTTAGGATGCTCTCAGTCAGAACCTTTGTGAAAAAATGAAAACCCCAAAGTGGGCAACCAGCCCAGCCTATTCTCCAGTCTCAGCTGTCTTACTTTGAGCAGGAAAGACCCCCCTCTAAAGCTTCATGAAGCAAATTCACTAAACATCTTTAGGGCTCAGATCAGCGACTCTAAAATTCTGTGATTTTACTCAGGTTCAGCACAGTACACAGCAGCATTGGTCCTCTTTGGAGAACCAGGTGAACCTTGAGCATAACTCCATCAGGGTACCCTGAGTCATTTCTTGTTTTTTCATAATGCTGTCTTCCCATCAGGCCATGTCTTATTAACTTAATTTCCAAGGCGGTGGTAGAAGGTTTGGCACATGGTAGATGCTTAGTAAATGTCCGAACACATTCTTGGGAATCCTAATGTCTGGTGGGCTGGGTGCTTGGGGCTGCCGCAGGCAGATGGAGCACATAACTAGCACCCATGGGCTCCAGGTGCTGTTTGAAAGTCATCCTGGAAGAGTAGACTCCAACAGGAGCCAACTCTGAAGTTCTACACAAGAACAGCTATTGTCTCACGTGGAAAAAGGCCAGAAATCTTCAAGGTCAAAGTCAGGAGAGATTTTCCAAAGAGAAGTGTTGATCTACAGCTCAAGATGTTGTTAAGAGGCCCTCAGAATGAAGTCAACACAATCAGGCCTCTCTTTGTACTGTCAAGATACAATCTGGAAACACCTGGATGGAGCGATGGTAAGCCAAGCTTTGGTTTCCATGAATTGACAGCAGGTGCCTCAAAATGGATTTTTCTGTTTCTCCCCATTAAGACAACATTTACTGTCCTTACGTCAGGGAACAAATGATATTTCTTGACCCATATTTCTCTAGCAGGTGGGCCTGTACTCTCTGTCCTCCAGGGGACTCAGTAAGAGACACATTCTGCCCCTCTGGACTCTAGATAGTCTTCCAAATCCCTTCTGCCCCAGTGGCCATAGAATCAGAAATATGGGCAGAAGTGAGAGGTGGCTGGAGCTGCCTGAGGGAGGAGCCCAGCCCTTCTTGCCCTGAGGAATTCTTTAGGGCAGAATGTCCCTTTGGCCCTGTCCAACCACAGGGTCATCGTGGTGGCTCCATAATGGCACCTCAAAAATGCTGGTACCAGGAACATTAAACTTCTCCAGAAACCTGAACAAAGAACAGGTAGAAAAGGGCAATAAACACACTTCCTTCATGTCCAACCAAGATGGGGTTTGGCGAGAAGAGAAAGACTTCCCTAAACTCTTCCCTAAAGAGATGATTTTCTGATTTTAAAATTTAAAATGCCAAGATTTGGCCATTCTTGCCCAATATTTGAAGAATTCAAAAACTCATCTAGAAGGCTCTTTGTTCTATTATCTCAAACCAAGTCCAGGTTCTATGTTAACTAAATCATGCCCCAGTCAGGTGGTCTGCTATCTTACACATTCATTCCAGTTCTTAGGACCAGAGGAGGAGGCGGAGTACCAAAGTACAACTAATACAGAAGGGCACAAAGGCCCTTCCATTCAATTGGTGCTTGAGTTTTTAGAAGCTCTCCTGACTCCTTATAGCATGAAATTCCCTCATCCCTGTCTCCAAAACATACCACATGTTTTGAAACCACACTTTTCCTCCTTAAGCTGATGTCTGCTTTGGAGAGAAAATGAAACCTAAAAGGTCAAGAGCTAGACTCTGCTCTTGCTAGGTTTTTTTCTGGCTTTCAGTGTTTCTTTCTAGAAGATGAACAGACCCAGGAAACATCCCATCAAAGCCACCCGGGCACCATTCTCCAGGCAGAAGTGGACAAAGGGCTGAGGGAAAGAGGCTGACAGGTGGGGACTGGAGAGGGGGGGGTGTTGGTCTTCCTGAAGGGCATGGGCAGTGGGGTTCAGCCTTCCCTCCGGCTTCCTCACCACAGCCTTGTACATTTTACACCTGTCAGAGAAAGGATAAACAGTGTGGAATACGCTTTGCTATCCAGACGCTTCTCTATACAGGGTATGACATTTGTCGAATGCATCTATGTCTCAGCAAAACCACAGTTCTAGACACCAACTCTAGCAAACTACATAAAGAGCTGTACACTATTGGCTGAAAGGGTGAGGAGGGGGAGAGAGGAGATTCAAACATCATCACTGCAGGCTCACAGTCCAGCAGTCATTCTGCCTCCTTAGGCGGAATGGCCTCCTTCACCACCACCTTTTAGAATCTCTGGAAAGACTGTCCTGGTGTCAGAATTCTTGCTCTCTAATCTAGTTTGCTTCATGAACTATTCTCCCCCACTCTTCTTTTCTCTGAATTGTAGTTATCTAGTACCAGTAAAACAACACTGAAATGAAAATCTGAGCACCTAAGTTCTAATACCAGCCTCTGTGGCCTGAGGTATCACCTTACTTTCTGGGCCTCTGTTTTCTTATCTAAAATAATGGGATCAGACCAGACCAGGAAAGGGAACTGTATTTTCTCTTATATGTCAGCTTTGACCAGGTGATGGCTTCCTTGAAAGGCAATGGGGAAGACTACTCCCGGATAGATCTGAAATCAGCAAGGGAGCTCAATGTGATTGATTAGCAATGTCTACCACTGGTGCTGGAATGTGTGCTGTACGTACATTAAAATATATGTCAAGTTTTTGCCATCCTTGAACTTTCTGCTCTCAACCATCCTTCCAAGTGGAGCGCTTGATGACTCCTCATGTCATTCTGTCACGCACTTAATGTCTTTTTCACTCATTCAGCACTGAATTATAGGTCACTTTGTATCTTCCTCTCACTGTTTGATGTGCATTTCATCTTACTTCCCAAACTAGACTGTAGGCTCTTGGAGGGGGTGAGGAATATGTCTAGCATGCTGGTACAGCTGAATCCACAAAGTCAGTGCTCAAAAAAAGTATCAACACATCGATGGGCTGATTACCAAAGGACGCCTTCAATGTCGGCACCTGTGGCAGACATTGCTAATCAATCACACTGAGCTCCCTTGCGGATTTCGGATCTTTCTTATCCTTCCAAAATGCTGGTAAGTTAGGAGGTAAGCAATTCCCTGATATTGCTGGGATTCAGCGCCTTCCAGTTGGCTAAACACTATGATTTGGCTTCTAGCTGGAAAGAGAAAGAAGCAAAGGAGGAAGAGGAGGAAGAGGAGCAGGAAGAGGAGGAAGAGGAGGAGGAAGAGGCAGGGGAGGAGAACACACTGCCTCTTACTCCACTATTCATTAGGTTAAACAGAGACTCATGATCAGACAAGAAGGATAGATCTGATTCACACTCCAAGAGGCTCTTTCCCTGCTTACTCTCCCCCTGGTTTGAAAATATCATAATATGATGCGTCATCATAACTTCCCCATCACTGCACAAGAGTGATGCTATTGCCATTGAATCGATAGCAGATCTGGGGAACTACCATGTCCTCCCACTTTGTACCTGTGTAGAGCCCAGAGAGTGGAACAAACATGGCCTTGACATAAAATTCTTTCAGCCACGTCTCTTGGAGCTAATTCCACCATTTAATATTTGTTCTGTCCTAATTGAATTCTCTATTTCAATTGACTATTCTAATCAGGAAAGTTCAAGGAAAGGGAGACATTGCATTTCTACTTATTTCCATGCAGGGATGACATAATGCACCACGGATGCCACAAAAACAGATATTTCAAATAGAACATACTCCCAAATCCTACTGAAACATTGTAGCTCAGGCCTTCAGGCAGCAAAAAGAAGGAAAGAAACAATCATTATTGCATCACAGCCATTTGAAATCTCACCTAGACCAATAAGACCAGAGAGAGAAAATTCTCAGCATTTGTGCCCATATTCAACTTCCACCCTTTTATATAAATTGTAGACACGAAACACTGAGGAAATTTCGTCAAGTCATTTTGAGAAAAAAAAAAAAAAAAGAAAATCAAAACCCCCGTACCCGCACAGAAACGGCAATCTGACTGTACAAATAAATGATAAATTTGCCCAACTGTGTTGAAATTCAATGCAATAAAAGAAAAGCCTTCATGGAAGGTGAGGTTTTAACAGTATCAAAAGGTTCTCGTGCAAAATAAATCATTCAAATCCCCAGGACGGCACTTGCCGCTAATTAGTTCTGTTAGGTCGTTTGACATCAAGTTCAAGGAATCTCTGCTTAAAATTCCACATGACGAAGTAAACGTCCGGGCAACCTAAGGCAGGTGTTCAGATTTACATTTAGGGAAACCCGAGGTGGTTGTCCACCTCCCCGTGGTAATTTTTACTTATCAACCATTCCAGGGAAGCAGCCCATGCGAGTCAAGGGTAAAGGAGACTAGTTAGTGCAGAAAGGTTAAGTTACTCAAAATATACACACAACGTGGCTTCCAGGGAAAGAGGCAGTGGTAGAAAATGATAAATATAAATTTCTGAACAGGATGAAGACAGGGGAATGGCTGAAGGGGGCTCTCATGACAGGGATATTTTACCTAGAGGAAGGGGATAAACGCAGTTAATTTAAGCGAAACGTCAGAGCTGCCTCACACAATGCACAAATGGAAAAAAAATTTTCCATAGAAAATTTTTATCTTCAAGCTACAAAAAAAAAAAAAAAAAAAAAAAAAAAGAGAGAAAGAATGGGGGATGGGAGGAAAAGGAGATTGCGGAGTGCATTTGGGTTAGAAATATTGTTGGTTCTTATATTCATCTTTTAGTACCGGTGATTAAATCGAACAAATCTTTATGTGGTCTCACATTCAATTTTAGGACGGATGATTAAATTGTACGAATCTTTGTAAGCTCCTCTATTCACTTTTAGGACTGATGATGAAATTCAACAAATCCTTGTATATTCTTACATTCATTTTTAGAAGTCGTGATTACAGTGAATAAATCTTTATAAGAGACCTCTAGATAAATAAAAAAAAGTAACAATTTACTACATTCACTCAAGTCAAAAAAATATAGACACAATGACAATTTCAGAATTTAAGTTAGCACAACTTCATAGTTCCACAGATGAGGCCCGGAATATTTACCGTATTTTTCTGATTCCACATTCCCCCACCAAAATGATGGCTTCCAAGTTTAAAATACTTGCAGCACTTTCAGCAGTGACGTCCAAATACAAGGACATTAAAAAGGTAGACTCTTCTTGAAAATTATGTGAGCGCTTCTCTTAAAAAAATAAAACAAAAACAGTTTTCATGAAGTTTTGCTTACCTGGAAGACTCCACAAACCAGAAACTTCCAGAGTTCTTAATTTTTTTTCTAGCTCCGCAACACGATTTCCTAAGATTCTGGAAAAAGGAGATAAAGTGACAGTAGATTAATGAGCATTCTGTCAACTCTCGGGGCTGTGAGGTAGCGATCTGGGAAGCCCATGAGTACCCTCATAGAAAGGTTTTGAGATTTAGGATATATGCTAAACATGGAACATTTGTATGTATATATGTGTGTGTGAAAAACGCAAGCTCTATTGAAAGTGCTTGTGAACATAAAAAGTGAAATGAATGATTAAAAAATAATGATATGCCATTCAAGTGAGTCCTCTCTCAAAAGGTAGTTCCCCTGGGGAGCTACGGAATGAATCCACCAATGCCCAAAACATCTTGCAGAATTTCTGTTTGGTATGTGCTCATTGCTAAAGAGATCTGAATACCCTTAGCAGTATCCCGTTTGGATTCTCTGAGAGTGGATCTGATTTGTGGAAACAACCAGGTTTAACAAATAAGACGGGTGGACACGCTTGGAAGTGTTGCTTTGAGCCACTTGATAATCAGGTCGGCCTTCTTAGACCCAATTTTTTTCTTACTGATGTCCATATTCCCGATAGCCGGCACAATGCCTATTGCATGGAACACCATCGTAGGTGTTCCATAAATATACTTGATTAAACAAATGCTTTTCTTTTCTCATAACTTATAAGCATCTACGGGAAGAAGGAAAGAAAATAGGCATTTCAAGAGTTGTCAGTAATTGCAGAATCATTAGGATAATTAGGCTGCTTTCCAAGGTAACCATTCTGACTCACTGGGATATATAAGTTCTGGAATGTGCATTCGAAAAGAGCGTATTGTTTTCTTGGAAGTCAGACTTTGTCTAAATGCACAGATAGACGTGTGGGCATCTGCCCTCCCCCTTCACTTTATACAAAATTAAATATAGCTGGGACATGATTTGATAGCATCTAAAACTTCAATCAGTTTTCATTGGCCTGGAAATTGAAAAACCAGTCTTTACTTTATTGGGGGGATTTTCTTGGCACCGCTGTGCTAAAATGATGTGGAAATCACCTTAATAGCAAAGTTTCAATTCCTTTCAGCAGGATAAATCAGAACACCAGAATTATTCTCTTGCCTCTCTTTATATTCCAGAGATAGCTGTGCACACCCACATATACACAGAAACATGAATATGTATGTATCTACACATATAGATGGCTTTGGAGACAGCCTTATTTTACCTGAATTGACTTGCACCATCTTAATTAATATTCCCTTTGAGTTCACAGAAAACTCTACAATTACTATATGTGGTTTTTTTTTTTTCAATAAGTACTTAGAGCTTTTCTTTTCTTCTCTTCCTTACGTCTTAAAATTCTGCATAGTCTTTATCAATTACTTTCAATTTTCACTCTATTTGTTGGGTCTATTCTGCTTGCACGTCCCTGACCCTTCAGTAGACACTATTCTTCGTAATCTCGCTTTCAATATTTCAGGCAGACCTTCTGATCCAAGCTCCCTTTTCAGCAGCTGATGGGTTTGAGATGCAATCACACCCCTGCTCAAGTTGATGCCTGTTTCTTAAACAGATCAGATCATCTGTGTGTGGCCGCCTCTTAGAAACAAAAGATAAGGCTTAACTCCTCTGCGGAGGCTGAGGGATGCTGTCTGAGCAAGAATGTTCAAAGGTGTGGCCGAGACGTTTGGGTATATTTTTTCCTGAATATATTGGGGGATTCCAATATATTGGGGAATATATTGGGTATATTGTTTCCAGGTAACACAGCCTTGTCTCAGAAATGGAATCAAGTGAGTTCACTGGTGTCCCCCCATATCTACTTTTAGGGCTTTTGCCTACGTTTCTCAGTGGCTGCTTTCTTCTTTGGCCTGACACTTAACCAGCATCTGATGCCGGGTTGGAGGCAGTAAGATGGACCCCGTAGAAGTTAGGAAAAAGAATATCAGTAACACATCAATAGTCCCAACTGTGCTACTAGTAACAAAGCAGCCAACTCATCTTCCCTGAGTCATTAGTATGAATCAGGAGTCCTGCCAACCACGCTCCTAACTTACATTATCTCACCTAACCTGACGAAACCCTGCCTGTCTGCTGTATTATCATTCCTTTTATGCAGTGGGCCCTATGCCACAGAGAGGTCAGACAACTTGCCTAAGATGCACAGTTCACCCAAAGCTCTGTCTTTTCCCAGCTCCCAGCAACGTCATCCACACTCTCCTCTCCTCATTAGGAAACAGAGGCCCAGAGTCACACAACTTGCTCAAAAACACAGGCAGGACTCGGTGGTGAGTCTGGATTGGAGCCTAAGCCTCCATTGGCCTCCAAAGTGCATTTTCTCCATCCACAGCCCTCAGTGGCCCTTGAAAACAAGTCTTCTCATGGTTTTTCTCATGCCTGCACCAAGTACTCCTGGAAAACTATTCATATTGAAATGTGGATGCAGTCACAGTTGACTTGAAAAATGTAAACCAAGATGCTTCAAATGACAAAGAGGGACCTCCTGGTCAGCTTCACACTGGAAGAATATGGCAGGGAGCCAACTGAGCCTGGTGTGACCCAGCCCAGAGAGAGGAGAAGGCCTATGTGAGTCTTACTAGCCGGCAGCACTGACGGATGGGCAGGGAAGAAGTCAAAACAGAGTCCACTTGGATCAGTGTGACCCATTCAACAACCTCCAGGACCCAGCTCTCCATAAAGCACAGTATTATAGACTACAGGGGATAGGGGAGAGAAGTGGACCCTGTCCCTGCATTTGAAGGACTCAAAGTTCAGATGTACACACACATGCGCAATGGAAGGCTTAATTAACAGCTGGTATTTATTAATCACTTCTGCACCAGGTATGCAACACCCTGTAAGTGTCTTGTAACAACTGACAAGGCAGTTCGTCTTAGCCTCGTTTTGTAGATGAGGAAATGGGGGCTCGGAAGGTCAGCTAACCTGCCCAGAGTCACACAGCTGGGAAGCAGAGCGGCCAGACAATGCAGGCCTGCAAATACACAGGTCCTGCAACAGAACTGAAGAGCTGAGTGGAAGATTAAATCCAGAGAAACTGGTAGGGACCCATATCATGAATGATCTTGTTGCCATATTGAGGATGTTCAGACTTTTATTCATTGGCAATGGGAGGAGAGGGAAGGGGTTTCAGCAGGCAAGCAGCATAATGAAAGTCAGGTCAAGTGTTCTTGGTGGGGAGTTGAGAACAGCCGGGAGCAGAAAGATCACCTTGGAAGGGCACGGCTTGAACTAGGGGATGGTATAGCCCAAGCCAATTCCAGGAGGTGGGAGGCTAATGCAGGAAAGCCAAAGGAATCTGGCGATGATAAGGAGGTAGAAGAGGGTTTGAGATGCCTGCAAGAGACCCACACAGACATGCTGCATCTGGGGGGAAAGGCAAGGACCTGAGAGGACAGAGCTTGGAGTGCACGCTGGGGTGGGGGGGTGAGTCCACCAGGTCACCAGCCGCATGTCTGGGTCAGAAAGACAGGGTGCTGAAGGCCTCCAGAGGCAGATGAGAGAGGACTGGAGAAGAAGGGTTGGAGGGGGAATACGAGAGCCAGATGTAGGGCCTTGAAAGCCATGGGGAGAGTCAGGGTAGGAGGAGTGGTCAACACTGGCTTATTCTAAAAAGTGGTCACACAGCTTGGAAGTTAAGAAGAGGCCACTTAGAAGACGTGCCTGACCCTGGAAAGAGTGATGTTTGAGGATAGTGGAAAGGATGGAAACCAGAATGGAAGCAGCAGGGCTGAGACAACAGCAGACCACGAGAAAGACAAGTGGAGAGGACTCTGAGCGGTTTGTAGGGAAGAGGGGGAGATGCCTGGGACAGTAGTAGCTCGAGGCACAAATGGGCTTGGTGATGTTTTTGTCTTTTTTCATAGGACAGGGGAGATTTTTAAATAAAGTTTTTATTTGAATGTGGGCTATTTCAGGATAGGGGACAGCTCAGCTGCTGTCCACCCAGCAGTCTAGACACATCCTCAAGAGACCAGGCCTTCAGCAGACATTCCTATAGTGGTTTCAGATAACGATGGTACCAGGACAAACTCAGGAACTGTCTACCACCGTGCTTGCTGTCTGGTGCGGGGATACTTGGGTGAGGGTCCTGGAGCAAAGTCTGCCCACCTGGATCTGCCCCTCCCCCCCATGCCACCCCTAGGTGGCCTCCTGGATCTCCACTCTCATCTACACACCCTTTTACTGCTCCCCAAGATCTTGAATCCCCAAGTGCATTCACCGTTGGCCAGGGAAGACAGCAGCACTTGCAGGCACAGCAGAAAGGGTAGCAGAGGCCACCGTGTCCTCAGGTACTCACCCCCTGCCCCACCATGGCAAAGATACATCCTTGCTGGGAGGGACAGAACTAAATGTGGTGTGCAGTGAAACATGGCTTTCACAATGGGCTCTTTCTTGAGTGCCTTGCCACCCAGTTTAAAAGATTAATGAACCTCGCCCCTTCTTTAGCAAGCACCAGACTATTGCCAACTCATTGGCAGGAAGTCCCTCCAGCAAATTGCCTATTAATTGAACGTCACTCAAAATGGAAAGTGCTTGGTTTCTTCATCAATTCTTCGAGATGGCTCCTGGTGGCCCCTCTCAAGGGGGTAACTGCCAGGCAGTGGAAACCCAGCAGGAAATCACACACTCACCAAAAGGAATACCTTTACTCCCATTTAGAATGCACCAGCAAAACAAAGCTATTTCATTATTTCAGTTACAAAAGGCTACATCGCGGGGAATAACAGCAAGAAGACGAAATTCACATTCTATTCTTAGCCCTCACTCCCTTTGTCATATAATTAGTTTCTTTACATGCCCCCCAATAAAACATTCATTAAAAGTTTAAAATGTAAGACTTTCTAAGTATTAAAGATGGCACATTAGGCACCTTATGTACTGATGGGAAGCAATCTCCAAGATCTATTGTTACGGGGGAAAAAAGCAAGGTGCAGAACAATGAAAAAAATGCTTTTTTTGTTTTTTGCATAAATACTAGCTTCCATTCATTTAAAACCCATGTATCTACATAAGTATATGCGTGTTTACATGTGCATGCATGAATATATTATGCACTTGCCTGTTCTGAATATGCTTCTTTGGAAGGGTAGATAAGAAACCAGGAACAGTAATTTCTTCCAGGAAGGGGATTTGGGTAGCTGAGAAGAGAGGTTTGGAGATACACAGCTGTTTGATGTTTTACAATTGAAACCGTAAGATGGCTCAAAAATTAATAAAAGTAGTTAAACGTGAAAGAGGACATTAAAACAAGAATAACCATGGCCAAATGAAAGTGTCTGTCTTTCTCAGTAGAGGGAGGAAGTGCTGTGAACCTGGAGGATGCAGGTGCTGGCAGTGGGGATGGGTAGGGGCACGTTAGGAAACCAATCTGTCAGAGGAGGCTGGAGTCCTCCGCAGAGGAGGGGCAAGCCCAAGGCTGCAGATCCTGCCCTTGGGACTCAGGGAGCTTTGTGTGGAGGCTTGGGCAGGGCTCAGAACTGTAGTCGGAGGTAGGGGAGGCAGGGCTGAGGGGCGAGGATGAAGCCAGTGCAGGGTCTCCCCAAGGAAGAGGTGATGAACTGAGGGAAGAAGGCCGAAGGGGCAGGGACGAGAGGACCCCTGATGGCCCATGGTAAGAACTCAGGAAATATACATCCAATAAATGAATGCAGAAAAGCTGTGAAGCTGAGCAACCATCTAGATGTGCCTGTTAAGGGAGCAGAAGTGAAGGGTTGGCAGGTGGTTCAATCATCCATTCGTGAAGTCGTCAAGAGTGCTCGGCATGGGCCCAGCACTGGTCTGAGCACTGGGAGAGAATAGTGACTGACATGGACAAATCATAGAGCCCTGGGACAGCAGGTGACAGGGAGGTGTGTGGAACCTGGGTGTTAGAATGGAGTTCAGAGCCCATTCGATTGTCATTAAATCATAAATGGTTGTATAACATTCCATCTTATGGCTTTACCATCATTCTAATCACTGCCCAATAAAAAGACATTTGAGTTTCCTTTTTTTCCCTGCTCTTATAAACGAATCCCTAGTGAACAACCTCACATATACATCTTTAAGGATCTTTAAGGTAAAAAAAAAAAAAAAAGGATCTTTAAGGTATCCTTCTGGTATTATTCTTTAGGATAAATTCTTAGAAGCAGACAATCTGGGTCAAAAAGCGCAAACATTTTGAAGTGTTTTAAAACTCACTGAATTTGAGGACCTGAAAGATTATCTAGAGAAACTACCCCCCTCACAGCTGGATATGTGGGTCTTGCTCTTGATCAGAGATCTGAGAAGTGTCTGCTGAGAATACGGCAAAGACAAGGACTAGGTCCCCTGGGTGGGGGAGCAGAGCAGAAGACAGAGAGAGAGGTCAGGTCGGCTTGTGGGGGAAGGGAGGTGGCAGGGATAAGACTGCGGAGAAAGTTCAAGTTTCCATCGTGAATCTTAAGGAAGGCGGGTTTTTAAATGGAAATCTGGATGTAGAGAAATCAAGGAGAAAAGAGACTTAAAGAGGGAATTTGGGGATACTGGTGACCTGCAAAGAAAGAATACTGTGAGATGCAAGAGGAGGTTCTGGAGGTACTAAAGCCAAGGTCCTTCTGCACTTGGACTCCCCGGAGCCCTCTTAAAACCGGAATTCCAACCTTCCCTCTTGCAAATGCCCCTGGACTTGCGTTTCCAAACGAGCTCCCACCCAACCCCAAGCAATTCTAACATGGGTGAGATCCTCTGTCCTACCTAGAACCCACTTATAGAGGGGGGCTGTAGAGGACATAGAGGTGGCCTTTTCACAAAGATTCCCGGTGAGTGGGACTCCGGGAAAGGCAGCAGGGCTGGGGAAAGCCTCTAGGGGTTCAGGGTGAAGAGTCAGAAGGGGAGGAAGTTGGGGAGATTGAGAGAGGTGGTCGCAGCATGAAGCAAAGGCTCTGACGAGGAGAGAAAAGGAAAGATGACGCTGGCCATGAGGATGGTGGGCAGGGCGGCTCCTGGGAGGAGGGAGGGGGACCCCAGGGCCAGGGCTGCCACACTCTGAGGGGCTCAAGCTGAGAAGTCCCATTTGCTCAGTGAAGGAGGAGCTGAAGCCACCTGCGGAGAACCGGGGATGGGTTTAGAAGACACAGAAGGTTGGAAAGAGCCCTGATGAGAGATGAGACACTTTGCAGGGGGCGAGGACAGGGCGGGCTCACAGGCATGAAATGCTACTGGGGATTCCCTTTCCTTCCTCCTCCGAAAGAAAAGTATCTGCCTCTCAGCATCTGGCTTTTCATTCCTCGGCTGCGATTTCATTTTTCAAGCAGGTTTAAACCTTCTCCCGTCAATAAATTACCCTTGTCATCCCTCTGCGATTGCCCTGCCTCCCTTTGCTGCTCTCTGCTTCCTTCCACATACATCTTAATCTCTTGTGCGATCTTCCCTTCACTCCGTCTTCTCTTTTTTTCTATTTTGTTTTTACAGTACTTTCAATCATCCTCCAGCTGCCTCTCGCCCGTGCCCCCGCCCTCGCTGGGCCCCAGGCCCCACCGACTCCCTCCTCTCCTGGCTCCCCTCTGCTCCGTCCTCCCCCACTTGCACTTTGATTCCTCCTGTAGGTCTTTTAAGCAGGACTAGCTCAGTAATTTGCAGGGTCCAGTGCAAAGTAAAAATGTGGGGTCCCCTTGTAAAAAATATTAAGACTTCCAAGACCGTGACAGCGGAGCCTCAGACCAAGTGTGAGGACCTTTCGAGCAAGAGTTGCATGCCCATGAAGCTGGCCCCATGGCTAATATTTATGGCTTTAACTTACTGCGTATTCACCATTCTCTGGACACTTTCAAGTTTGCCTTTGTCATCTCTAAGGGCCACGTCAATCTACTTTGAACTTGCTTGAGTGTACACATCCCAGCCAACACGCTATGCAAAACAAATAAGACACTCTGCCCTAATTACGGCTCTTCCTTTTCACCATCTTATTTGCCTGTCTGGAAGAGTGACAGGTGACTCCCTTATAGGCACAGCCACCTGTTGACATGATGCTTGGGTGGTTCCTGCCATTCAAAGAACCTCAGCACCAGGCAGTGAAGTTCCAGGGGCACTGAGCCAGTGTCTCCCCGAAAAGGAGACCGGGAGGAAAGGAGAGTCAAATCAGCCAGGTCATTATCCTATGGAAATCACTCATGCCATGCGAATGACACAGCTGCTGATATAGAACAGAAACCTTATTCTAGTTTAGTAAGTTCCCTTCTAGGTTCGAGGGGCCTCACCTCCTTCCCTCCCTGCCCAGCCTTCCACCTGGTCGACATTCACTCCTGGCAGCCTCCTCTCCTTTCCGCCTTGCCCACCCCGCAACCCAAGGGTCCGGCCACCTACTTGTTGGTTTGCCTCTGGTGCTGAATGACCATGTTCTTCTCATGGATCGTCTCCAACAGTGCTGTTGCCAGAGATTTCAGGTCAGAAATGGACTGCGGGGTTGCTGGCAGACTGCAGCCGTGATCCTCAGACAGCAAATCCTGAACTAGGTGGGACATAAAATGTGTAACTCAGTTGTAATTCTCCCGGAACGCTGGAATGCAAACCAATGTACTTCTTCCTGGATAGGGATAGGTTCCCAGCTTCTAAACGCTAGTATCTTGTATTGAGAGGCCACCTTGAGAACTGAGAGTAAAAAGAAATAAGATCCAGCATGAAAGCTTAACAGAAAGGTGGACATCCTCACGGACTTTTATCAAAAATGTTTTTAAAGGATGATAATGTTTGCATTTGTCTGTGGTTTTAAACACTTTCATACAGTCTAACTCATGGAGATTTAAATTGGAAGGGAAAAAACCCTAAGAAGTATCGTTTATTTCCATTCCATGGGAAGGAAAACAAGGTACAGAAACATTTAGGACCTTGGCTGAAGGTCGTACATGTCAATGACAATGATAATGACGTCTCGCCCTGAGCCCCTTGCTTCATGTCAGAGTTTCCCACACGGAGCTATCCCTGGCAGGTGGCAAGATAATTCAGGAGATTATCTAAAGTGCAAAATACCTTTTGTATTTTAATGGCTTTGTATTTATTGGAAGGCATTACAGAAAAGAATATAAATGGCATAACCAACCAGTGATTTCACAGATGCTGCTACTTAGGACAAGGCCAAGTAAAATGAGTCACCTTAAAATTGATTCAAAGAAAAACATTAAGCAAATAATAGCAAGGTGATGGAAAGATATGGCCAAAGATGACACAGTGGACTGCAAATGTCTAACTGTGGGGAAACAGGACATTACACAAAGGCTAGCTATTCTTGGATGCTTGTTATTCCACTAACTGCCAAATCACATTCATGGCCAAGTTCAACACGAAGCCAAACAATACACACAGTTTGGTGTCACTGAAGGATTCAGATCCATGTGAAGTGGCCCATCTCTTGTATGACACACCCCCACCCTGGATGTGTCTCTGCTGACAAATCTCCAGTCATCTCTGGATAGCTCTGGCCAGTTTTGAAAGTATCTACTTCAACAAGAATCATTTCTGATTTGTCTCCATGCCACTTATATAAAGGAATAATCCAGGTGTGGTATGACTAGCTTAGCACATAGTAGGACTACTACTTCCTTTATGCCAAGTGTCACTATTAATATAATGTAAGATTTCCTTAGCTTCTTGGGCAATGAAACGCCATTGATGACTAGCAGGAGAATACCGCCTACTAAAATCTATGCTTTTTTTCATACGTGATGCTGCTAAAACTCGGCTATTCTCCTGGAATGCTAGAATGAAAACCAATGTTACATCTCAGAGGATGTGTTTGGGCTGGGCTCAAAATTGTTTAAATCCTTCTCAGAAGCTGCCACCCCCAACCACAGCATGGGCACCATCTACCTGCAGAACTTCGGCTGCTTTACCCACTGTCTGTTCTACCCTTGGGTCATTCAGCTCCTGCAAATCTGTCCTTTCTGACTCTCAATGTCTATTCTCCAAAGTCTAGTTTATATTTTCAGACATACTCTTTAATTGATAACTGATTGACTGATAAATTTATTGATTTTAGACAAAGTCTCACTCTGTAACCCTGGGTAGGGTGCTATGGCGTCACAGCTCACAGCAACCTCAAACTCTCAGACTTGAATGATCCTCTTGCCTCAACCTCCTGGGTAGCTGGGACTACAGGTGCCCACCCACAATGCCTGGCTAGTTTTTTCTATTTTTAGTAGAGATGGAGGTCTTGCTCTTTCTCTGGCTGGTCTCAAGCTCCTGAGCTCAATGAATCCACCTGCCTCGGCCTCCCAGAGAGCTAGGATTACAGGCATGAGCCACTGAGCCCAGCCCAATTTTTAAACATACTCTTTAAGGGTAGACAAACTAAAAGATAAACCAAGAGGTAAACTAAAAGACAGAAAAATAAGATAGGATAAATCTTTCATTATGTATCTTTGAATACCATTTCCTACATGACTATGTACAGAAACATACATACAATATTTCACCTTCAAAAATGGGGGAGAGGCTTTAATTTTTTTTTTCACTTAATACTCATCACAATTAATATCCCATAGAATGTAACATTTAATGACTCCTGGGCATTTATGTTTGGTATTATAACCGAGGTATGGAAAACTTTCTTGTGGCAAAATGTTTGCATATGACTTATTTCTTGCTGGTTCAAAGAGGGGCAGTTTGAGAGACTTTTCATCACAGGTTGCCGGAGGTTCATATATTTCATTTATGGATGCCAACAGATTGTTGGCGGTGTGCTTGTCATCACACTTTTCCAGCACGGGTGCGCCAGATTCGAAGTTCTACCTCAGCGTGGATGTGGCTGGCATTCCCCACATCAATGATAACTCTGAGTGTCAACAACCAAAGACAGTCTGCTATATCTGGTACCCAGATCTAAACTTAGATGGGCTACTTCACATTTTCATAGCGTATTGTGGTTTTCTCTTTAAAAACAATTCCAGGGTGTTCTTTTCTGGTTGAGTGGGAAAAAAAGAAGATGCTTGAAAAAGAGGCTCGCTTGTTATGTAGGCTGGAGACTCAGCATTTTTATTTTTTTTTTTAAGCCACCCTCGTGCTGATTAAGATAGCTGCCATATGATAGCTGCTGGTCTGCACTACCAACAACCAAAAAGTGGGCCAGCCGACCAGGTTCAACTTGAGGCCTACGCTCAGAACCGAATTCCGAATACAAAGTGTCAGAAGCGAGCTCTCTGCTGTGTATTCCCCCTGGACTGCTCTTGGAAGATCATTATTTTTCATTGGAATCGACAAGAAAATTGCAATCGATAAAAGCTTCCTCAAAAAGGGCACATCTTCCATGATAAGATGATTTCAGTGGCTATGGGATTTTTCTATTCTGATTACAAAGGCCCGGAAAAGGAGGTTGAAACACATCCTCTGAGATGCGAAATCAGTGATTAGGGAAAGGAAAACAATCTTGGGAAAGGAGAATGCAGGATATGGGGACAGACTCAAATGGGTCCAGTTATTAGAAAAGCTTCCAATGTGGTGGGTCTCAAAGTGGGGTCCCTAAGCCAGCATCAGCATCACCTGGGGACTGTTTAGAAACGTCTTTTTCAGGGGCCACCCCAGATCTACTGAATCAGAAACTCTGGGTGGGACCCAGTAATTTGTGTTTTCCCAAGCCCTTCAGGTAATGCTGATGCAAGTAGAAATTGGGGAACCCCAGCTCTAAGGATTGCCTTGGTTCCTAATTCACAAAACCAGCCAGTTGGAGGAGACATGGGCTCACGGTGGCAGCATTCCACGCTCATCAGATGCCCCCCGCTCCCCACCCCCAGCACACAATATCCTACCTTGCTTTGCAGACAGGACTCCTGTCAAAGCACTGCTGCTGGATTTCCCCTGGCCCTTGGAGTTTTTCCGCCTCTCCAGAGCATTCTACAGAGGAATTGGGAGAGAGTAAAAATCTCTATCAGAAAAGCTGGTAATAGAAAAACACCTAATAGGTGCCTCTTCCCACTGGGACACAAGGACTTAGAGACCACAGGCGCTGGCTTAAAACTTGGTATTCCAAGTCTCTGGCAAAGAGTGATAATTATTACAGCTCTGGCAAGGAGTTTGTTTTGTTTGTTTGTTTTGGTTTTTTTTGCACAGCAGAAGGACAGCAATTACAGTCCCCTGGAAGAGTCCTTATTGGAATCTATTTGGGAGGTCAGACTCGTACTAAAATGCACTCAGTGCACGTCTGTCAAATTAGATCCAATCTGAAACAAGAACACAGCCGAATGTGTGAAGTCACGAGTTACAGAAATCCTTCTGAATAGATAGGAGTTGGCGTCGAGGTTTATTTTCACGTACCAACGGTGGTATCTGGGAGAATTTTAGGGCTGGATTGGAAAGAGGGCCGTGATCGATTAGTGACAACTGCCGTGGACACAGATTAAAGAAGTCCATATGTGCCACCTACGTGCCACTCCTAGAACAGACTCTTACATGAAAATTAATATGTAGTATATAGCCAGGGCTTGGCACATGGAGCTGAAGAAATGCTGTTAACGAATGTATCCACACATTTTTAAAAAATGTGTATTAATTATACGATTTTAAAAGTTATATTCTTCTTTGGCTGGGTATAGATAGGGGGCGTGGAGGAAAGCGTGGCCCAGACAGAACGGAGAAGAACAGCATGGTGGCTGCTGAGAACAACTGCTCCTATCAAACGTCAGGAAAAGAAGGTTCTCCCGAGCATCGGGATGGCTCTAAAACTTCACCCTCAGGAAGAGAAATCAATCTATTTTCAAAGTAGAGAAACCCAGGAGATTTTTCTAATTATAACGCTTACAACTAACATCTGCAGAAATAGATATTATCAAACTAATGGTACTGGAATGAGACGAGATAACAGGGGGGAGAATTTAAACGTTCTGTTCTTTCCGGATGACGTGAGCATTATCGTTTGAGGTTGTGATTTCCCAACCCCCGTTCCTTCATCACTCAGAAGCCACTTGCTTATGGATGATCATGAGACCAACCGATCAGATGAGTGAACATTTTACGGAGAAAATCAAACAAGAAACCGAAGACGGAGGCTGTGGAGCAGACCAGCCCAGAGTGCGGGGTCTCAGCACACCTCGTTCGGACAACAGCCCCGGAAAAGCAGGCTTGCAAAAGCGGCTTTGGTTTTGTTTGTTGTCTGGGGTTTCATTCTTCCTGGTTACCCCAGTTAAAGCTGTTATTGGACTCTCTTCGGGAGGGCAGACTAGTACTAAAATATCTTTGGCACATAAAAGAGAATTTAAAATAGAATGACATTTAGATGCACAATAGTGAATCATCATCATTGTTGTCATGATTTTTCTACCTTGTACTTGGCGATGTTCGATTTCAAGAGGTTGACCTCTTCGTGGAGTTGCTTTAATCTCTCTTGAAGGTACCTGGAAAAGAATATCTAGAACCAGGAAGGGTTTGGGGGCAAAATAAAAAAAAAAAAAATACACTGAAGTATCACAGAGGGGAAAAAACCGAAAACCACTTGCCCGAAGAGTCATCTTGTACACACAGTGCCTCGCCTGGCTCACCACAGACAGGAGGAGGGGAAACATGGCAATGCCTGTGACCTTTCTTTAAACGGATGCGGTCAAGGTCAAGCATGCCCGAATCAGACACCCCACTTTCAAACAGCCCTCTCCGAGATCCCCTCAGGGATATGAACACGGTTTTCACATAATTCTCATTAAGATGATTCCACTGGGAAGCAGAGCAGGAAGAGGCGACACCAGACGCGACATCAGGTTAGACGTACGCAGGCTGAAAGGTGCCTCGGGGAAAAGAAACAGCTAAGGGAATTTCTCAATTTATTTTCTTATTCTTCTCCTTCTCCTTGGTAGCAATAACAAGCAGCTCTCGCTGGTTTCTCAGCCAGCCAAGGAGTGTGTGAGCAGAGAGGGGGGGGTACATACACGGGCATGCAGGCGTGTGGGGCTTCTTTTTTTACTTTTACAACTAAGACATGACATTGATATCATCGTTTGGGGGTTGTGACTTTCTCTGCATATGTAAGGCAGTTTTTTCCGGTGTAACCAGGGCTGTCACAGTTCCCGGCCTGCAGGCCTGCAGCGTGGCAGGCCGGCACTCCGCCCAAGCACACCCTGGCCTGGCCCCTCACCTGTTCTCCATACACAGGGCGTCCACATCAATGATGCGGTTCTCATGCCCTCCCAGGATGTGGTTCAGCTCCTGGTTCAGCCTCTCCACCTTGTCCTGGTAAGAAGACCGTTCCTCCTTAACATCCTGAAGCTCATCCACAGAGGCCTGCAGGTCATGCTCCAAAGACTCAATCTGAAACCAAAGGAAGCGCCTTACTCATGGTATTCCTCAGACGTCCCCTTTATGGCCAGAGATGGAGCTGTCTGCTTGCCTGGCTGACTTTTAGAGAGCTTATTAATACGGCCCACGTGCCATAAAACCATAAAGCACCATGCAATGAAATACGATAAAAGCTAAAAGCGGAGAGGTGCTTCCTGCCCATCACTTACTGAATCAAAGACAGGGGAGGTGCAGCAGCTCAGGAAACCAGAACTGTACCCTCACCTGCTGCGGATGCCTGGCAAGGCTGGGAGAAGGCCAATCTAGACCTTGGGAATGGCTGCCAGGGTCTTAGAAACCCGGGCTTTTCCAAATCTACTTTAGGCTCAGGCATCTTGCTCTGCTCTTCACAACCAATTAGCAAAGAGAAAGAAAAGGAGGTCTAGCTCTCTGAGCTATTCCCCCAACTAGGGCTCCTTGAGCTTTTGCCTAAGAGGCCTCACTTAGCACTTGAGCAGAAATTTGCAAATTAAGGCCAGTTTGTCACATTTTGTTCCTTCCCTGTCTATCTTGCGTAGGGAGAAAGTTTCATGTTTTGTTCAGAACAAGAGCACCCGATGTAAGGGAGCTGCAACCCGAGAGTCTGCCTGGGAGCCGAGCATAGTACTAAGGAAGTGAAACCGTCCAACCGCAGCCCTCCTAACCCCCTGGCTGCCTTCCCAGGCATCCCATACTCAAGAATCCAGGCGCACGGCCTACTGCTTATTCATCCCCATTCCGAACAGATGTTAGCGCTAACCTGCTCCTTGGCTCTCTCCAGCTGTTGAACCAAGTCTTCCCGCTCATGGGCTGCAAAGTGGCGCACCCCAATTTCTTCGTCTCCAAGCCTTTGTTTGGCAATGGTCATCCTCAAGAGCTGTATTTTTCATTGGTAGAAAAAGAAAAGAGGGGCAGAGAGGGAAAGGGAGAGGAGGAAGGGGAGGGGGAGAGAGAGAAAGAGAATGAATAAATAGATCCAAATAAAACTCCCAAAACACTAGGCAGAAACTTCTGGAAGATAAGTAAGATTCTCTCCTGAAACACTGGGGAAAAGCACTAAACAAACAGAGAAATGACTTGCCAATATCATGAATTCTTAAGATTTATCTATTATATTTTGTGCACACATGGAAACACGGCATAAGGAGGCCTGGGCACCTGGAGTTAGATGCCTGGTAGAACAGAGCTGGAAGGAGGAAACAAACTATGGGTCCCATTTGCATTTAGCAAAGATTTAAAAATGGTAACCCAACGCTGGGAAGGAAGAGCTGGACACACTCGCACACGCTGAACAACAAGGAAGGTCATCAACAGCCTTAAAAATGTCCCTGCCCTTGGCAACTTGGTGATGCAATGGTAACACCTCTCACTCCAGATCAGAAGGCTGTGTGTCAACAATGTCCCTGCCCAGTGATCCAATAACTCTATTTCTCAATGATCTAAGAATAATCCCAGACACAGGCAAACTTCAGGGCAAAAAAAGGAGAGAATAAAAAACTAGAATAAAAGAAAAACTAGAAACAATGTCTAACAATGGTGGATTGGTGGGCAGACCAAGGGCGCACAAGCCATGGACTAACTTGGAGTTGTCTGAAAAGAAGCTCCTGGGAACTACGTGATACCATGAAATATGCGTATGGTGCCATGGCGAGTAGGGAGAGAAAGCAGAACACTAACTTCCTATGCGGTACAATTAAAATGATACTAAGAACTTATGCACATGGGCGCATATAAAAAATGGCCAAATACACCAAAATATCAAGATGTGTACGTGAAGTGATGGTGAGAATGCATGTTATCTGCTCTTTTGCCGTTGCTGTTTCCCAGCTTTTAAAAATATTTTATTTATTTATTATTTATTTATTTTGAGACAGAGTTTCACTTTGTCATCCTCGATAGAGTGCCGTGCTATAGCTCACAGCAACCTCCAACGCAACCTCATATAGCTCACAGCAACCTCCAACGCTTGATCTCAAATGATTTTCTTGCCTCAGCTTTCTGAGTAGCTGGGACTATAGGCATCCACCACAATGCCCAGCTATTTTTAGAGATAGAGTCTCTCTCTTGCTTAGGCTGGTCTCAAACTCAAGCAATTGATCAAGCCATCCACCCGCCTCAGCCTCCCAGAGTCGTAGGATTACAGGCATCAGCCACCACACCTAGTCTGTTTTCCAACTTTTAAAATAGGTATGCATGAATATCATAATATAATTTTATTTATGTTTAAATCCCTAGGAATAAAATTCTAATCTCCTAAAATGTAATTTGCCAGAGGATCTCTATAGAACTCATGGCTTCCGCCAGAGTCCAGGGCTAAGCCTCACCTGCAGGTCCAAACCTTCCAGGCTGGGCTGCAGTGGGAATTCCATGAGAGGCCCAGGAAGACCTAGTGGTCCCAGAGCACCTCCAACCTGCCCATCACAGCACCAAACAGGTTGCTATTGAAGGGGAACTTTCTAAAGTTACAGAACCACTTCCTGAAGCTGCTTCTATAGACAATTTAAGCCTGTGTCCACCTCCCTGTGCAGTGGATATGGGTAGGTTTCATACATGGATGAGGTCTTAGGGACAGTTTTTCAATGTCACACTCATCCGGCCCAGCCAGGAGTGACTGTGGGGGGCATGCTCTTCCGTGTTCCTGTATGAATCTTAAGGGATTAGTTGCCAGTGGAGAAAATGGCTTAATTTTCAGAGTCTCTGAAGGATTTATGGGCAGGTGAGAGATGGGAAGTTAATTTAAGCCAGGGCAGAATATTAACTAAATTGAAATAATAAATAACAGCAAGGAACTTGGAAAGAAATGATGACTAAAGAGAAGTAAAGAGCATTTTCAAATGACACTTACTCTGGGTCCTTCTTTGAAAACAACTTGAGAGAACTCAACGAATATTTGCTGTGCAGCTACCAAGAGCGAAAGTGCCCCAGGATTGGGTGGACAATACCCCAGGCAGGCGGAACAGAATGTGCAAAGTCTGACTGTGCAGAGGATGTAGAACACGTCGGTATGCAGATGGCTGCACTTAATGGAATCTGATTACAGTTAATCCTCATTATTCACAGATGCCATATTTGGGGATCAGCCTCCCTG